AGAGCCACCGAGGCGGTGAGCGGTTTTACATAGGGGGTATCGATTCAAATTCAATGTTGACAAGTGTTATACACTTTTGTTACATCAAAGACAAAAGAGCCTAGTAAGGAACGAATTAAAAAGTACAAAAGTACAAAAAGGACAGAGCCTAATAACATAGTCAAGCATAGTCAAACATCTAAGTTAAAATACATAATAATACAAGAATGTTTCCGAAACCATGTCGTTGACGGCGTCGTCTGCTTCTCTGCTGACAGTGCTTGCAATAGCCATGACTTCGACCTGCCTGTCGTTTACAGGATCAAACGGCAGACCTTCAAAATCCTGCAACAGAAGCAACACTTTAGTGAATAACTAGGTAGATGTACGCCAGACCACGTCTCGCGTAACAGGCTTCGCGATATTTTTTTTAAATCCAATTTTTGAGCTAGAATGCTCTTCTTCGAACTTGATCTGTCTTTTTATGTCACAAAACGACCCTGAAAATTTCAGGTCGCTAGCTCAATTCGTTCTCGAGTTATCGTGCGTACAGACAAACAGACAGACAAACAGACGCGAAACTTTTTGATCATCAGTGGAGTAATAGGCTTCGCTAATCGCTCAGCTAAATAGGCTTCGCTTTCGCTCAGCCAACAATTCAGGTGTCTTTACGGAGTTGCGGTTTGGCCGACTACAAGAGAAACTTACTTTGTCAAAATAGTTCGCAGGCAACAAGCGCATGCAGGAGTCTGGATCCGTAGTTGTCGCAAACCCAATAGTTCTCTTTAATCCAGAGACATATTTCTTACCTACATCTTCTGGCATAAAGGCAAGCAGAGGTTTGAGGACGTCATCTTCATGGCAGGGCCCGCGTGCCCCACTCATATAAAGGGCGTGCGTGGCCTGGACTCTTTGCGGGTCTAGATCTTTACGTGCACGGACCGAGTGAAGGGTCCACCTTGTAAAGGAGATGTCCTCGCACTTGAAACAGTATGGGTTTGGGTTGTTTTCAGCACCGTTTTGCCGAAAAACTCGCAACTAAAAAGAAAGCTTTCATTAGTGCATGTCTTAAACATGGCCAAAAATACAAAAAATTGAATGTGTTGAACACATTCAATATCCTTCGGAGTTCCGCGAATATTACGCGGCCTTGACGGTGTCACACTCCTCGCCAGTGAACGCTGGGGTACCGTTATTGAAAAGCCTCCTTCAATATCTTTAACTTCACAAACGACCTTCTTTTTTTTTTTTGGCAGTTTTTGGAGTTTCAACGACATCAGCGACACTTTCATCGTCTTGCGAAGTGGCCGTCTCCTTTGACGTCGGCTTCTTTGAAGTGCTTTCTGTGACCGTCTCATATTCACGATTTTCTGACAAGCGTGAGTTCTTTAGAGGCGTCCCTTCTGGCTTGTCACTTCTTGACTTTTTCGGTGGGGGCTGCACCATCCTTGATGAAGCGGCATCAGCAGCAGCTGATCTCCTCCGGCGGTATCCTCAACTTCACAGACGACTCTTTTCTTTCTGGCAGTTTTAGGAGTTTCGACGTCAATTTCCATGTCAGTATCGACGACGCTTTCAAGGTCTTTACAAGTGGCCGTCTAATTTGTCGTTGTCTTCTTTGGAGTCCTTTCTGTCACCTTGGCAGCCGTCTTATTTTCACGGTTTCCTGACGAACTCGAGTGTTTCTTCACAGGCGTCCCATCTGGCGTCTCACTCCTCGACTTTTTCTTCGGGGGCTCTAAGGCGACCTTCCTTGACGAAGCGGCAGCAGCAGAGGAAAGTGATCTTTTTTTCATCGCCACTTCTCTTTTCTTTTGTTCTTCCTCAGTAGCCTCGAACCTCATTCTACCGCGTTCTACTTCCTTCTTCTCCCTGTCCCTCCTATTTTCCGTCTCACGTTTCAGCCTCTCGCTTGGTTTTATTGGGTTGCTCAATTTCTCCTTCAGCCTGTCCCGAACTCCATTTAATTTGGCCACTAATTTGTCATCTTTACTACTTCCAGTTGTGTGCGCCCTGCGGCTTGCTAGAGCTACACCGGAGCCAGTTAGAAGGAATGGCTTAGTTGTTTTCCTTGAGCAAGGTTCGGGCTGCGTAAACAAGACAAGACTATTAGAAGAAAAAATGCCACAAAATAAAGAAAGTATCTTCGAACGATTTCCACTACTTACCAATACTTCTTTTACCCCAACCACAACGTCTCTGCCACTGGCCATCGACACCTTTGCACCCGAATCCCGCACATTTGCGTCAACAGAGCATGTCGTTACGTTTCCAAAAGTTAAGTTGATCTCATTCAGTCCTGAAATAATAATTATGTCAGTACTTTACCATCAGCTCATAACGAAACAATAGTACAGAAAAAGTCTTACGTGGAGGGCTGCTGGGCGGCCTTAGCAGGTTTTCCAGGAAACCGTCAATTGATGGGTCTGGCAATAGAGACGTATCGACGCCATCAAGAACGGAATCTAGTTCTTTCATAAGAGCATCAGACACATCGGGCGTAGATTCTACACTATCTAGTAGGCGGAAGTTCTCTTTCGAATGATACCAATATTACGTTTTCGGTGAATAAGCGACTTACGCGGTTATCCGGAGCGCCAAGCGAGGTAAGCGGTTGTCCGCAGGCGCGGAGTGAGCTGAGCGTTTTCTCAGAGCCACCGAGGCGGTGAGCGGTTTTACATAGGGGGTATCGATTCAAATTCAATGTTGACAAGTGTTATACACTTTTGTTACATCAAAGACAAACCAAAGATGTCTTAAATAAAAATAAAATTATCCTAGGGAAACAGACAGCCAGCATGCTTAACACACAAACTTCTCCTCAGCCTTTTCAAAGCACAAATGAGGCAAAAGAAACTGATAAAATACATACTTTAAGACATTGAAACGGAATTTCATAGAGATAATAATGTTGCAACTGAAAATATTCACAAAAACTCGAGCTAAGCATTTTTTGGAACAACCAACAATCAACTGGCGATAAGCGCTGCTAATTTACTGAAACTTATGTCTTTTCAGGTCCATTCATTACTCAACGACATTAAACGTTTTACGTTTAATTTGCTTTCTTCTGACAAGCCACGCAACGTTCTCTGCAGGTGACTGTTGTGCAATCTGAATTTTCAAAGAGGAATTCTGAATAGAACATGTTCCTACAAAGGGGCCAATATGAGAACGTACAAGCTTTGAAAAATCTGACGTCTGCGACCCATGTTTAAAGACACAAAAACGAACAACGGTATAACCTGTGACGAAAGAAAGACAAGTACGGTTTATTAAATGTATTAAATTTAAAGCACTCGTCCATATTTACCATAGTTTGTATGTTTAATCGCACCTGCTCGTGATGATAGACCATGAGATACCCAAATTCTTTCCTCGTACCTCTGAGATGGATCACAAGTCGCCACAAGTAGAACACGTGGGATATTGATGCGAGTCGTGCCTCTTTTCACGAACAGCCAGTTGCAATATTGAAGGGAGTTGGCATAATATCGTGCTGAATAATTCCTGCAAAACACGTATTAAATTATGCTTCTCTTAGCCACAAAATGTTTCATATGAATCATATGAGCTATTTTGTGTTTCCAGCACCAACGACGTGGACGTGGAAGCATGACTGGTACCTTTTGGTTTTTTTTTTTTAGTGAGATACCCCTTTTTTTATTATGTATTTCAAAAAAATAACAATCAAAGCAAATTAAATTACGTCTCATCACATTGATATAAAATGATTGAATGGTTAACAAAACAGTGATATAGAACAGATGAACATATTAACATGCACCTACAAATTATCTTCGTCAGTTGAGTCCAAATCTGACAACTCAAGTTCTTGATCAGCCTGCTCAATTACTCTTTGGATGTGGTCCTTGGGAATGACCTATGAAAAAAGAAGGGGGAAGACTAACTGCTGATTCAAATAATCATCTTGCACTAAAAAAGGTAATTTTGTACTCTCATAATCTTCTTTAAAAATTTCAGCCATGATGTAAACAGGCATAGCGTCGAACTTTTTGGGTGTCAAACCAACACCAGCACACAGAAGGAAGTTCTTGAGCTGTGCTTTGAACTCATCTTTACCCTCACGTGCGGCGTCATACAAAGTGTCAACTAGGGTATCCTCGTGAAAAGGGCCTCTTACATTGCTTGAGCATAAATCTTTAACCTCCGCGCACTGACATCCTTATGCGCCTCAATATGTGACCAGTTGGCACTGATTTTACCATCCATTGGACACATAATTTTCACATTCTGGATGACATAGTTGCGATTGGACACTCCAAACTAAAACACAATACAATATCTTGTCATAAAAATTGAGAGCTTCCATGCACATCAGTGTTGAGAAAATGTCACTTAACCCCTTCATCCATAGCCTTCGTAACCTTAGGAGCTGCCCTTTTGCCTCCTGAGCACTCAGAAGAAGGGGGGGGGGGGCAGCACACTCTTCTCCCGGCGTCTCAATTGCACCCCTTCATCAGCAGGTTGCGTAGGCCTGACATACTTAGAGGGATCAATTCGTTCGAGCACAACACGGCAAACCTTTTGCTTCGGGTCACCAATTTCAAAAAATTGGAAGTATCACAAGCAGCAGAAACGTTTTGTTATGTATGTGTCCCCCTCCTCCACTACATTTCCCTTCTATTTATCTTTCAGAGTGAAAATCCTCAGGTATCGCATACCGACGTCGAAAAGCATAACGATCTCATCACTCATACATTTGCAAACTGTGACTGTGCATTACTCTTCTGCTCTTGCCCGACATTCTACAGTAAAATAAAGGTGTAGGTCGACAACATTAAACGTGTTATGTATTTTGA